TCTCCATTTGAGATCTTTATGAGCAACTTGGTTATATATCTATCATTGGCCAATGTCCCTTGCAATAGTTCGCCTCCAGGTTGAACCACTGTCCACTTTCTGTTCTCTGAGTCAAAGAGGAGGGATATCTGTCCATTGAAGCCAAACTCCCAGGATCCGCTGGTGTGTCCATTGGCTTTACACTGGCACAGCATCCTGCCCTGCAGGGGGAGAGGGTCTGTCCCCCATGGAAAGAGGTCAGCATCTGGTCTTGAGAAATTCTTTCCCCCTAACCCTCCCCAGCATCCACTCTCTGGGCCCCTTTGTATCTCCTGGTCCTGCTCTGTGTTCTATGTCTGCTCTGGCTGCTGAGTCTCCTGTGTGGGACCAACTTCCAATTTTTATGTAAACACCATAGCTCCCTAACCCTACAGAAACTGTTCTACTTCTGCCCTGAGCCTTTCAGACTCACCGCTGGTTGTGGCAATCTCTGGTTTAATGTCAAGCAGTATCTTTCTGAGCTCTTCCACCAGGTCTGTCAGAGCTTCTGACTGTTTCTTCCAGGCCTCTGTATTGTTCACCTTCATCCCCAGAGGACCGATGGGTTGGAACTTCTTGCTACCATAGTCATAGGACAGAAACTTATTCCCACTGACCTCGCCTTGAACCTCACACCAGGGTTGTCCAAATCTGGGCTTAGGAATGACAGTGATGGTATAGGAAAGAGCATGATTCTCTGTGAAGGAAAAACACAGGTGAGCTTTGGACTTGGGTGAAAAGAGTTCCTAGGCATTGCCCCCATCTCTGTGACAGCCAAGGGCTGGGATGGCAGAGTAAGGACTGCCCCTGCCAGGCCCCTCAGCCTCACAAGTTAAAGGCCAGTGCTCCTCCCTTGCTTGAGGTGGAGGAGGAAGTCTCTGCCTGGGAAGATACCACATATCCAGAGACATCCTCTCTGCATACCAGGCTGATACCCAGCATCAGTCAGCCCATAACCTTTCCAGGGACGTGACTGGCATCCACGGAGGAAAAGCCTAGATACCAGAGGATTGTCAGAACCTAGCCCAATCCAACCTCTGATGTCCTGTGGGGACATGAGAGAGATTATAGGAGGCTGCTCCTGAGGAAACCGGATCACCTTGGGGGTGGGGAGAGGATAGAACCCAACGTTGGAGAAGAGAGTTTGCAATTATGGGTCACAGGATTTAGCAAGGCGCTGGGAGATGGTGCTTGTCTGCTACTAGGATGGCTTGGAAGTTTCAAAAAAGGGATTGCCCACATCATTGCATGACATAGAAAACCCCGAATTTCTGAGGCAGGGGGTAGAGGAAGGGCTCAAATGTCTCAGAGAAGTGCACATGTCAGGGTGGATACAATATGAAAAGACAGAAAAGTGTCCAGTCAGCTGTGCTCCGTGGGAAAGCCTGAAGAACTCTGTTTCCCAAGCCTGTGAGGAAAGCATGGATGAGAAGGGCAACAGAACACTCAGTAGCTCAGTAATTACTTTTCCTGAAGGTCAGGAATGGCGGTAGGAGATGGCGTTCCCTGACTAGCCTTCTAAAGGTAATAAGGATGGAACACGTTGAATTAATAGATGCTAGGTGGAGGTGCTCTATGTCAGGAGCAAAGTGGGTGCAATGATCAACATGATTAGGAAGAGCAGAACCCCAGCCAAGACCTCAACCACAGAGAGCTGTGACTACGGCTAATAGAACGGGGCGATCCTACAGGCAAAATGGATGGGCTGGCAAGCAGTTCACTCACTAGTGGATTTACATATTTAAAGCAAACAAAGACAAAACACAAGGATGGATGATCAGGGGGCTGAAAGCAGCCATCGAACAAAAAGTCTGGATCCTTTGCCCTGTTTCTGGAACTAAACCACTTCTCAGAACCCATTACTAGAAGGAGAGGCCAGATTCCAATGAGGAGGGATCTAACAACAGGCCAGGAAGTGCAGAAGCCTTTCTGGCCTCCCCCAAAGAGCCATATGGCTGTTTACTCGGGTAAGTGTGCACTGGGAAGCAGAAGTGACCCACACACCCAAATTGGACCTCGTGTGTGAATTAACACCATCGTGGGGATCAGAAGCATCATCATGGGCCCCTGTTATTGAAGTGGTGCACAGGGGGGCCAGAAACGAATAGATACTTGTCCCAGGTCCTGTCACAGTGGTGTCATTGGCCTACAGATCCATGCAGTGGTCATTTCACATTCCCCAGATTTGTAACAGGAATGAAAAATCAATATATTTTTTGAGTTACTTGTGGGGTGAGGGCTACATAGTAGGGAGTTCAAGTACAGCCTTCTCACACTGTCTTCCCTTTGCTCTAAATAGAATGTTAGAACAGGATCTTATCCTGGATTAGAACCCACCTCAAAACCTTAAAGGCTGCAGGGCCGTGATCCCCATCCTCTGTCCATTTCTGAACAGCTTGGTCTGAAGACTCTTTGTAAATGGCTCTATACTAAATATTTCAGACTTTGCAGACCATAGGTCTGTTGCAACTACTCAACTCATGGCATTCCTGATTGGAGGATCATGACACAGGCCCATAGGGCCAGAAGCAAGGCCATGCTACTGGCAGAGGGAAATTCCCGCCATTGGAAAGTGGCTCCTGGGTGGTCCTGAGGCCTGGCAGAGATGAGCCCTCTGGCCGTGAGATATCAGAATTGCCCGTCAGGAGTGTCACTACATCAGACAGGCCCGGTGGGCATAAGATAGAAGCAATTCTTCTGGCATTGGCATGAGCAGGCCACAGGGAACAAATAACGTGCACAAGTAGGTGGCCCAGATCCTGACACCAGAAGTGTTGCATCCCACCTGTGGCTTCATGGAGTGTCCCTTATCATCCCTTTAGACAGAGGAATCCACTCTACAGAAAGGAAGGGAGCAGGGCCCACACCTGTAGGACCCATATCCTGTCACATTCACTCCACCCAGAGCCACAGGCAGGACAGGGTGCCTTTCTGGCTCCTCAGCACACAGCTGAGGCTCCTTGGAGATGATTCCCTAGGGGACAGGGCACCCATATCAGGGACCCTGCATATACTCTAAATCTGGGGCCAGCAAAATAAGTCAGAGGCCATATCTGGGCCCCCATCCTTTGCATATTGTCTCTGGCTGCTTTTGCATTTGAGGTGATTAGGGTCACCATGAATGGGAAGGTGTTGGAGGTTCTGGGGTGCATGGGACCGGCTGAGATGGGCGGTGAAAGGATATGAGTTGGGGTGGAGGAGTAGGCACTCCTGAGGGACAGTGGCCGAGGCTTCACATGGGGTGAGCCACGGCCAAGCGCGCTGGGAAGTGCCCAGTGGAAGACAGGGGACAGGATGGAGGCTGTGTGGGGAGAGCTGTGCGAGCACAGGAGGGCAGGCAGCGTCTGGGGTTTGCCTCCCTGCGGGAAGGCCCGTCCAGGCCACGCCCCGGGGCGCCAGGTCTGGGTTCGGGCTTTCCGAATGCCGGCCGCCAGGCTGGGCCCCAGCGGATTCAGGGGCTTTCCCTCCCCGCCCTCCCCCGCTCTCGCTCCTCCCATTCTCTCGCATTTCTCAGCTTCCAGTTTCTAGCTTCTCCAGCTTCTCTTTTTAAATCTTGGCACCTGGGCTAACAACTGTTGCCAATCTCTCTTTTTTTTTTTTCTGCTTTATCTCCCCCCCCCCCACCCACCCCCCGCCCCGTACACAGCTGTATATCCGAGTTGCAGGTCCTTCTAGTTGTGGGATGTGGGACGCTGCCTCAACGTGGCCTGACGAGCGGTGCCATGTCCGTGCCCAGGATCCGAACCTTGGGCCGCCGGAGCGGAGCGCCCGAACTTAACCACTCGGCCAGGGAGCCAGCCTCTCCCGCATTCCTTATTCGCCCAAGTCGCCTCTTTTCGGGACCTCCCCTTGCCCCTATGGTGACAATCACCCCCCAGCGGCCACCAAAGTGGAAAGGAGCCCGCTGAGAGGACTTGAGCAGGGGACGGCGGTACCACTGGCGAGAGGATTCTCGAACTCCGGTGCCCGAACCGCCCCCCCCCCACCATCCCCTCGAAGCTTCCATCCCGAACTCACCGCCGCGCGCCGTCCGGGGACAGTCCTGCAGCAGGAGCAGGAGGACGAACGCGAACTTGGAGCCTGCAGTCCGCGCCATCGCTACCTGCAGGCGGACGGGGACACACAGCGTGGTCACCGATTGTCGGGCAGGGAGCGAGTCACTGTCCTTTGGGGCCTCAGTTAAGTGCTTGTAGCTCCGCCCTGGGCCCGCCCACCGCGCCTAATTTGGGGCTAAGTAGTTCCGGAAAAGTTTCCGACCCCGCCTGCTGCCTTTCAGTTCTTTCTCCCGCCCGGTCTCCTTCCCCGCTCTCTTTTCCCGTGTCTATTAAGAAACGCAGGAAGGATTGGGAATGGGGAGTGGAGGGGAAGGCAGAAGGAGAAAAAACAGAAACATTTCAGGAGCTAGTACAGCGCCACCAAGGAGCAGGTGGGCGGGCCGTGGGGCAGAGGTACCCGGAGGAACGTGCTGGGTGGCTGAGAGGACAGCGACACATCCTGCCTCAGTTCAATGTCACCGGGGTCTACCAGACGTGAGCACTTCTTAGACAGCAACTGCTTAACATTAAACCAGACACTCAGGCAGACAGGGCCACGTGAGAAAGCCCAAGTGCAGGAGAGAGCAGATTGGGGGGTTAGGCGCATTTGTTGTACTGATGTGAAAAAAAAAAAAAGGATGTTGGTCCTTCCCAAGTAGCCCAGCAGAAAGGGCAGGCCGTGGAGGAGAGAGGAGGGCAGATACAAAGGGGCCCAGAGTGGGTGGACACTGGAGGGGTGGCAAAGGATTCCTCCAGACCAGAGGCTGACCTCTTTCCCGCAGGAGTGAGGGAGAGACCCTCTCCCCAGGCAGGGCAGGCCGATGAGTCCCGTAAAGCCAGTGGACGCACCAGAGGATCCCGCAAGTTTGCCTTTGACGGACAGTAATCCTTCTTTTTTACTTGGAGAATGGAACCTGGACAGAGGTTCACCCTGGAGGCAGACGGATGAAAGAGAAGCAGGAGAGTGACAGGGTGTGACCGAGTTCTTCAGGAAGATCTCCATGGGAGACTGCAGGAGCTGGCTTGAAAGTTTCCTGGTGCACTGGGAGAAAATGCTGGAGACAACAGGTACCTGAGAAGAGGAGGAAGTGGTAGCTCTCTAGAGACGAGAGCTAAATACCTCACCTTCCGTGTGTGTGTGAATGAGTGATCCATCCTTGCTGAGCCCTTCTTTGGAAAATTAGGGCCATAGGTAGGTTTTCCCTTCTTTCCTTTCCCTTCTCACCTCCTGACATCTCTTGCTCACTGCACATGCCTCTGGTCCACTCACCGTGGATTTCTGGCTGACCCCAAACGTGAGGACATCATTGTTTCCACACCTTTTCTTCCTACTGTATCCTCTTCTTAACCTCACTTTTCTTTTGCGTTTCACCTGGCCTATTTCTGGAAATCCTTCAATACCACCTGTCAGCTCCTGAGAGGACTTCTCTCCCACCATCCTCAGGTGTCACCTCCTCCTCTGTCACAGCAGCAGTGATTGGTTACACTGTAGTTATTCTATCCCCCATTAGCTGGGTGAGCCCCTTGGGGACAGGGCCCATCTCGTCTCTCCCTCCCTACCTCAGGGCCTGTCACAGAGGCTGCCACATGTAGAGGGGGAGAAAATGTGTGCATTGTTGGATCATCTAGGGCAGCACGAGCTGAGGAGGAGTCTCCTCAGAGGAATCGTGGGGTCTGGACAAGGGCTATCACTCTTCCTTTTTCATTTCAGCATCACCAACCACAGCCCCAGCTACAGCCCAATCCAGGGCCACGGCCGTACTCCCATCGCCTGTATGCTCCTGGTGACCCTCACCTGCTCCATTCTCCTTGGTGTCCTAGGATGTATCTTTACAGTAATAGGTACTGAGAGCAGATCAAGAGGGAAGGGAGTGTCAGATAACCTGGAGTGAGGATGGGGAATGTGAATTCCCAGCCCAACCCCTGCCAAATCACTGAACTTTCTCATCGTGGAAATGAGACCAAGTGAATAAGACCTCCTATCACTTGCTGGCTAGAGCTTGGACAAGCTCAGCCCTGAGTTCTGCCATCTCCTCACTGGAAGGCCAGTGGGAAAGGGGAGGGGCTCACACCAAGGCTTAGGGCCTGTTGATGCTAAAGGGGTTTAGCAAAGTCAGGCCTGCCTCAGACCAGAATCCCTGTTTGGGAGAGTCTGTTTGGGCCCAGTGGGAGGCAGTGTGGGGACAGCAGGCACACAAGTCAGGGGCAGGACTCATATTTGGGTGAAAGCCCCATTGTGGCTCCGGGTAATGTGACAAGGGAAGGGACTCATCCAGGGGGCTAAGAGAAGAGGGGCCTGGGTGTAATCGCAGGAGGAGTGGGAAAGTGGGCCCTGCAGACTCAACTCAGAAGGCTGGAGTGCTGGGCTGCGTTCTCACAGAAAGTGCCTTGGCTCCCAGCAGGTCAGGCAGAAGGCGAACAGTAGAAGCTGTGTAGGAGGAGGCCAGTTCTCCATGGAACAAGGGGAATCCTGGCTCAGCCTGTTGTGCGCACCTGGCGGCCAGCCTCTGCAGACCCCAGATCCTGAGTCATTGAGCGGCCCCTCCCTGGAGCAGAGGTGGCTCAGGGGATAGGTGGGACTGAGCTGCTGTTGGTGCCCACAGCTGAGCTGGCCCAGGGATGGATGGAGTGGGAGCAGTGATTTTCACACTGAGAGCTCTGTGTGCTGCTAGTTAAGAGGCTGGGAGAGAAAGAAAAGAACGACGTCTGCCTGCAACCCTCCCCAAGGCTATGGAGGTCAGGCTGCAGGCCCTTCTCTTCCCTCAGAGCTCCCCCCAGGTCCTTTAGGCCCTCCCATCAGAGGCAGAATCAGGACCTGAGTACAGGGAGCAGATTGATCCAGTACTCACTCTAGTCCTGATCCTAAATGGTTGGTATGAGGGCCTGGGTCTGCCTGTGATGTGGTAAAGAGAGGAGGATGTCGGGACAAGCTGGTAACCCTGGGTGTGACAGGTGGGGGAAATACATGAGCCTCAGTGAGCGTGGGTGCTCAAGATGGGAAGTAACTGGGGAACCGACTCAGAACAATTGACCCAGGATTACCTCAGCCACTTAATCAACACTGTTTCTTCTCTGAAGGCTAACGATGCTCCCAAGAAGGCTCCGAGGGTGTGGTCTATGCCAGGGACTCTGCCTTCTGGTTGGCCTCCTTTGGATCACCTGCTGTTCTTTTCTAGACCACCAGGAGTTCAGACCTTACAAATCCAGAGACCGCCTTCAGATCACGGTGAGACAGTCCATGCAGTATCTGAGGTCCTTTACTGCATTTGGTGATTCTGCCATTCTGTGCTTTCTCTTAAAATAATATGCCCCTTTCTCTGGGTGCTCAGTGGTGGAATTTCCATATTTCCAGTTGAAATGGTTGAACAAGAAATCTCAACAAAGACAACCTTTTCCATCTTCTCCTTTGATTGTAGAAAATCAGATTCTTCTCTGCCTGCCCTCCTCTGCTCACATCCCTGTCCCCACACAGCCTCCAGCCTGCTGTCCCCCAGGAACTTCCCAGTGCACTTGGCCAACAGATCACAGCACATTCAGCAACAGGCACTGTCCCCCAGGAGTCCCTGCTCCTCCACGCCAGCTCGCAGTCTTTCACTGCCCACCTCACCCCGTCCCCATGCACCCCAGGGCCTCCAACACCTTCCCCCCTTTGAAGTGTCCTTAATCACATTGCCACCAACTGGTCTCTTATGCTCTTGCCTGAGGACACACTCTAGGGTAGCCTCCACACCTGGCCCCCAGAACCTGGAGTAGGAGGGATGAGAGGAACTTGTTTCCAAAGTGTGACCCTGGGAATGAGGGTGAGGAAGGGCCCTCCCACTTCTACCCTCTGGGGCCAGAACCATATATGTGGCTACTGGGAGATGATATCATAATGGTCATCTATTTAGGCAAGACTCTGCAAACTGTTCCTGTAAACAGAAGACAATGAATGTTTTCATCTTTGTGGGCCATTTGGTGCCTGTCTTTGATCAGCTACTCACCTCCACATTTGTAGTGTAACAGCAGCCAAAGACAACGTGCAAAGGATGGGGGAACAGATTTGGCCCCATCGTGGTTTGCTGACCCCAGGTTTAGGGTATATGCAGGGTCCCAGATATGGGTGCCCCATACCCTAGGGAATCATCTTGAATGGTGCCTCAGCTGTGTGCTGAGGAGCCAGAAAGGCACCCTGTCCTGCCTGTGGCTCTGGGTGGAGTGAATGTGACAGCATGTGGGTCCTACAGGTGTGGGCCCTGGTCACCTCCTTTCTGTAGAGTGGATTCCTCTGTCTAAAGGGATGATAAGGGACACTCCATGAAGCCACAGGTGGGATGCAACACTTCTGGTGTCAGGATCTGGGCCACCTACTTGTGCACATTATTTGTTCCCTGTGGCCCTGCTCATGCCAATGCCAGAAGAATCACTTCTATTTTATGACCACTGGGTCTGATTCTCATGATGGGCAACTCTGATTCTCATGGCCAGAGGCCTCATCTCTGCCAAGCCCCAGGACACCCAGGAGCCACTTTCCAATGGCGTGAATTTCCCTCTGCCAGTAGCATGGCCTTGCTTCTGGCCCTATGGGCCTGTGTCATGATCCTCCAATCAGGAATGCCATGAAGTCCCCAGGGCACCTTTTCCTCCCTCAGATACCTCTAGTATCATGGGTTCTGCGGGGTCATAGGGCCCAAGCAGCAGGTCCAGCCACACTCATTCATTCCTGTATTGTCCATGACTGTCTCTTTGCTACCATGGCAGAGTTGAGTAGTTGCAACAGATGTATGGTCTGCAAAGTCTGAAATATTTAATATAGAGCCATACACAGAAAGTCTTCAGACTAGGCTGTTCATAAATGGATGGAGGATGAGGATCATACCCATGCATCCTTTAAACTTTTGAAGTGGGTACTAATCTGGGATAAGATACAGGTTCAGCATTCTGTTTATAGAAAAGGGAAGACAGTGTGAGAAGATTGTACTTGAATTCCCCACTATGTAGCCCGCACCCTGGAAGTAACTCAATAACTAGGAAGATTTTCCATTCCTGTTACAAATCTGGGGAATGTGAAATGACGAGTTTGTGGATCTGTGGTCCAATGACACCACTGTGACAGGGCCTGGGACAAGTGTCTTCTCATTCCTGGCCCCTTAAGTACAACCTCAATAACAGGGTGACCATCATGATGATTCAGATCCCTGGGGATGGTGTTAACTTACACAGGAGGTCCAATATGGATGCGTGGCTCATTTCTGCTTTCCAGTGCACACTTACCTGAGTAAATGGCTCATATGGCCAGAAGGACTTTTACCCTTGCTGTCCTGTTGATAGATCCCTCCTGATTGGAATCTGGCCTCTCCTTGTAGTAATGGGTTCTGAGAAATGGTTTAGTTGGAGAAACGGGGCAAAGGATCCAGACTTTTGCTGGGATGGCTACTTTCAGCCTCCTGATCATCCATCCTTGAGTTTGTTTCAAATATGTAAATCCAGGGGTGATCGCACGCTTGGCTACCCATCGATTTTGCCTGTAGGATCACCAGTTCTGTTAGCCAAAGTCACAGCTCCCTGTGGTGGAGGCCCTGCCTTTCACTCCCACCTTCCTAATCACATCAGTCATTGTACCTGCTTTGCTCCTGACATAGAGCACCTCCACGTGCATCTGTTATTTCAACATTTTCCATCCCTATTACTGCTGGAAGGCCATTGGGGGAACACCATCTCGTACCGCCGTTCCTGACCATCAGCAAAAGTCATCATTGAGCTTTTGGAGAATTCTGAGACCCTTCTTAGCCATGCTTTCTTTGCAGGCTTGGTGAGCACAGTTTTTCAACCTTTCCCATGGAGCATGGTTGACTGGACGCTTTTCTGCCTTTTCATATTGCATCCCCCCTGGCATGTGCACTTCTCTGAGATATTTGATCCCTTCCTCTACTATGTGCCTAAGAAATTTGGGGTTCTCTATGTCATGCAGTGTGGGGAATCCCTCTTTCCAAACATCCAAAACCCATCCTAGTAGCAGACTAGCACTATCTCCCAGGGCCTTGCTAAGTCCTGTGACCTGTAATTGTAAACTCTCCTTTCACCCACGTTGGGTTCTGTCCTCACCCCACCCCCAGAGTGATTCAGCTTCCTCAGGAGCAGCCCCTACATTCTCTCTCATGTTCCCTAGGACGCTGAGCTACATTCTGACAATCCTCTGGCATCTAGACTTTTCCTCCATAGCTGCCTGTCACATCCCGGGAACGGTTGTGGGCTGACTGACGCTGCGTGTTGCCTGGGTCTACAGAGGGGACGTATCCACAGATGTGTAGTTTTTTGCTGGGCAGAGACCACTTCCTCTTCTTCCTCCTCAAGCAAGGGAGGGACACTAACCTTTAACTGGTGAGGAGGAAGAGCCAGGCAGGGCCAGTCCCTACTCTGCCATCACAGTCCTTGACTGTCACAGAGATGAAGAGGGGCTGCCTAGGAGTCTTTTTCTCCCAACCCCAACACTCACCTATGTTTTTCCTTCACAGGCAATCACACTCTTTTCTATAAATCACTGTCATTCTTAAAGCCAGATCTGGACAACGATGGTATGAGGTTCAAGGTGAGGTCAACGGAAACAAGTTTCTCTATTTCTCTACTATCACTGTGGTAGCGAGAAGGTCACACCCATTGGTCCTCTGGGCATGAAGGTGAATGCCACAGACACCTGGGAGAGACAGTCAGAAACTCTGACAGACCTGGTGGAAGAGCTCAAAAGGAAACTGCTTGACATTAAGCCACAGATTTCCACAACCAGCGGTAAGTCAGAAAGGCTCAGGGCAGGAGTAGAACAGTTTCTGTAGGGTTAGGGAGCTACTGTGTTTTTGTAAAACTTGAAAGTCCCACACAGGAGGCCCAGCAGCCAGAGCAGACATAGAGGCCAGAGCAGGACCAAGAGATGTGAAGGTGACCAGAGCAGTGGACACCAGGATGGGGCAAAGGATTTGTCCAGACCAGAGGCTGACCTCTTTCCCATGGGGAGCAGACCCTCTCGCCCTGCAGGGTGGGATGCTGTGTCCCTATAAAGCCAATGGATGCATGAGTGGGTCCTGGCATTTTGATGTGTGTGGCTTGGAGAACAGAAAGTGTACAGTGGTTGTTCCTGGAGAGAGACTGCTAAAAGAGACATCAGACAATGGCAGCGATGTAACCAAGTTCCTCATGAAGATCTCAGATGCAGACTGTCAGAACTGGCTTGACCAATTTTTGGTCCCCTGGGAGAAAATGCTGGAGACAACAGGTAACTGAGAAGAGAAGGAGAAAGTGGTAGGTCTTTTTAAATGAGGTCGACCTAGCCCACCGTGTATGTGTTTGAGTTTGTGTGTGTGTGTGTGTGTGTGTTTGAAAGTGTGCTCCATCCACTGTGAGTTCTTCCTGGGAGAACAATGGCCATAGGTCCGCTCTACCACCCTTACTTTCGCTTCTCACCTCCTGACATCTCTTCCTCTTGCACATACCTCTGTCCACTCACTGTGGATTTCTGGCTGACCCAAAACATGAGGGCATCATTCTGTCTCCAGACCTTTTCTTCTTACTGTTTCCTCCTGTTAGCCTCACCTTTCTTTTTCATCTCACTTGGTCTCTTTCTGGAAGTCCTTCAATACCTCCTCAAATGTCAGCTCCTGAGAGGACTCTACCAAAATACTTATATATCACCTCCTCTTCTGTCACAGCAGGATTGATTGGTTACATTGTAACCCTTTCTTCCCTCATTGGCTGGATGAGCCCCTAGGAGACGAGGCCCGTCTCCTTTCTTCCTTCCTACCTCAGGTTCTGTCACAGCATCTGCCACAAGTAGAGAGGTAGAAAATGTCTGCATTGTAAGATCATCTGGGGCAGCAGGAGCTGAGGAGGAGTCTCCTCAGAGGAGATTTGAGGTCTGGACAAGGGCTGTCACTCTTCCTTTTCCATTTCAGCATCACCACCCACAGGCCCAGGTACAACCCATTCCGGGGCCGTGGCCATCACTCCTGTCACCTGGATCTTCCTGGTGCCCCTCACCTGCTCTGTTCTCCTTGGCATCCTAGGTTGAGTCCATCTCCTAACAGGTACTGAGAGTACATTGAGAGGGGAAGGGAGAGGCAGATAGCCTGGAGTGAGGATGAGGAAAGGTGAATTCCTTGCCCAACCCCTGGCCTACAGCCTTAACTTCTCTTCATGGAAATGATACTAGGTGAATATGACTGTGGTAGCCAGGGTTCCCCTGAGGAACAGAAACATTAGGAGATGATGCAGAGACAGAGACAGGCATAGAGGCAGAGAGACAGACAGACAGAGACAGAGACAGTTATTATTACCTGAGGGCTTGAGAACCAGGTCATCATGGTGTAAGCCCACCATCCAGGTCTGAAGGCCCAAAATCTGGGAGCATGATGACCGTGTCCAAGGGCTGTTGAAGAAGGACGTCCCAGCTCAAACTGAGAGCAAATTCGCCCTTCCTCTGCCTGTTTGTGCTATTCAGGCCCTTGTGGATTGGATGATGCCCACCCTCATTGGTGAGGGCCATCTTCTTTACTCAGTCTGCTGATTGAAATGCTAGTCTCTTCCAGAAACGCCCTCACAGACAAACCAAAAGAATGTGTTACCAGCTATCAGAACATCCTTTAGCCCAGTCAAGTTGACATATAGAGTTAACCAGGACAAAGAACTCATTTTGCTCGATAGCGATTACTCAGGCAAGTTCAACATTGAGTTCTGATTAACTCCTCACTGTCAGAGGCCAGTGGGAAAGTGCAGGGGCTCACACCAAGGTTGATGGCCTGTTGATGCCAAAGAGATTTGGCAAAATCAGGCCCAACTCACACCAGATCCTCCTTTTGGGTGGGGCTCACGTTGGGGAGGGAGGCAGCAGGAACACAAGGCATGGGCAACACGCAGTTAGGTGAGAGCAGCAGGGAAGCTCCCAGGATGTGTCACAGGGAAGGGACTCCATCCAGATGCACAGAGGAGAGGGGCCTGGGTCTAATCCCAGGAGCAGGGGTGGGGAGGCCTTGCAGACCCAGCTTAAAAGACTAGAGTTCACGGCTGCGTTCCCACAGAAAGGGGGCTGGGTGATGGCAGGTAAGGCATAAGGCGAACAGTAGAGACTGTCAGGATGAGACTAGAAGGAGGTCAGTTCTCTGTGGACACCTGGTAATCCTGGCCCAGCCTTGGTGCAGTCACCTGGAAGCCAGCCTCCCGCTGTGGACCCCAGATCCTGAGGCTCTGAGTGGCCACTGCCTGGAGCAGAGGTGACTCAGGAGACAGGTGGGGCTGAGCTACTGTTGAAGTTGGACACTCACAGCTCAGGGGAGCCAGGAATGGCTGGGGTGGGGCAGACACCCTCACACTTAGCACTTGTGAGCTGCTGGCAGGGTGAGGAGAGGCTGAGAGTGGAGGGGAAGAGGAACTTTGCCTGCAGCCCTCCCAGTGCTGGAGCAACTAGGATCCAGGCCCCTGACTTTGCTCAAGGCTGCCACGGGGTCCCCTAGGCCTTCCCACTGGAGGGAGGATCAGGATCCAAGTAACCGGAACAGACTGAATCCTTACTCACTTTAGTCCTGAGCCCCAAAGTGCTGTAGCAGGGCCCGGGGGTGACACTGTCATGTGGGAAAGGAGGGAGGCGGTTGGTCCAGGCTGCAGGACCCAGGGGTGGGGGTATGTGGGTAGGGAACTCCATGACCCTCAGTGAGGGTGGGATTCTGACATGGGGGGTGACTGGGGAGGGGTGGCCCCAGGAGAACCAACCCAGGATTTCCTCAGTCCTGGGACAAACTCCTGTTTCCCTTTTAGAGGCTGGAGTTGCTACCAAGAAGCCCCTGGGCGTCTGCCCTCGTTCCTCCACTCTCCCTTCTGGTTGGCGGCCTTGCCATCACCTGCTCTTCCTCTCTCCACCACCAGGAGTTTCAGCCCCTACAGCAAAGGCAGAGGCCCCAGGAGTCCTGATGACCAAGGAGATGCAGCATTGCCTTCCCTTTATGCGCTTGGCTGATAATCTGCTTGACACTTTTTCTAAGCATCGGGGCCATTTCTCTCGGTGCTAAGTGTTGGGATTCCTGCACTGAGCCTTCGAACTGCTCGAACAAGAATCTCAACCCAGAGTCTGTTTCCACCTTCTCTCTGGTTGTGGAAAATCAGATGCATCTCTATGTCCTGACCCTGTTCTTGCACATGATATTGCCAGAAAACTGTTGTGTTCTTGAGACTGCAGAACTTCCGGGATTCTTTATGTGTCCTGAGAAACAACTTTGTGTGTTTTCAACAGAACAAGATTATATTTATGATTGTTTCCTTTCATAATTTATTGTCTTGCCACGGATATTTAAGTGAATATCTTACTTTTTAAAAGATTAAATTATTTCAGAATTTCATTTTATAACCCGGTAGAGATGTAATGCCATTCACTCTTTGTCCATATCATGGAGTAAATAAAACCAGTGATTCTGCTAGATTTCTTATGGAAACAGAGAATTGAAGGATCACTTGTAAATTAGCTATCAAGCAGGACATCTGTTGGTCTCAAAAATTATCCAGATACTCTGACGCAAACAAATATTCTGGGACTTAAGGATGGAGAACCTTTCTGATTTCAGCCCTGATCCCCAACCCCAGCAGTGACTTTCCTTTGATGCCTCCAGCCTGACTCACCTCCTTCAGTGAGAAGTCAGTCTTCACAGCAGCAGCAGCTCTACGTCTAAATGCTGTTTTATTCCCCCACAGACAAAGGATCAGCATCTAGAATGTAACGAGAGCTACTGTACTTCAATGGGGCAAGTCTGATTCTTCAAAGATACAGGGCAAATGATATGAGGAGTTAATACATGGCAAGTAATTCTATGAAAAGATTGAAGATCTCACAAATAATTAAGAATACTGTAATTAGAAGGAGACTGACCTTTCCCCACATGCCCATGAAACTGGCAAATATTTTAAAATATATCAACACTTCCTAGTGAACAGGAAATGGAATACCAGTAATTCTCTTGCATTGTTGGTATGAGTCAAGCTTCAAATACTGTATAATTTCACCCTATCTAATGAGGCAGAAGATACGCTCATCTTCCCTCACAACAGTCTCAGTGTTTATTCCAGTCCCACAACTGTGTACCAAAGAGCCTGTAGCTATATGGTTGTTTATTGTGGTGGTGGTGGTGTTGCAAAAATATAGCAACAACCTACATTTCCAGAGAAAAGGAGCATATACTAAAATGTTGGTGAAAGTTTTCTGTTCTTTCTACCTAAGACTCGATCATCTCAACCACTACCAAAAATCAAACAACCAAAAGCCTGGATGAAAAGACTTTAAAACATGCAAATGTGTTAATGAGGACTTCTGATTGACATACAGTCAAAGTGGCCACCTCAATACAAATCTCTCCACTTTCCCCTAAAAATTATACAGATCAAGAAAAGGGACAAAGGGAACACCCCTCACCCACATCTTCAGCACGAGGAGGAGACTGAAAATCCCTAAACCTGTCAGGCTCCTGAGCTAGAAAGGACGGTTTGGGGAAAAAAGAATGGGGTCTGAGGGTTAGATGTAGGAATGTCTCAGTGTGAAGTGTGTTCTGGTGACTGCGTTTTGGCAACTTAGGAGATGTCTTGATTTATAAGAAATGTTCACTAAAGTGCTTGGCAGTGATGGGACATCAGGGTGACAGCTTGCTCTGAAATGGTTCTGGAAGAGTTTTCCATAACTGCAGCCCTAACTTTTTGTAAGTTTTTGCTTGCTTCCAAAAATTTTTCAAGTTATTAAAAATGGGAATTTAAAACAAAACTTGTTTTCAGAATTTGAAATAAGAGAAATACTTAAATACAATAGAGGAGACAGAACTGTACGCCTCCCAGTCTCCACCTCAGATCCCGCTCCTTTCATAGAGCCGGGTCCTCCCCCGATGTTCCCTTCTTGTCCTTCTGTGCTCCAGCCCCCCTCAGCTTCTCCCTCCTCAACCTCATTAGCATGGTCAGCCCAGGCTGTGCTACAGACAAAAGCAGCTCAGGCCAGAGATGGGGATGTGCAAATTCACTGTTACAGCTCCTGACCCTCAGTGGGATGCAGGAGCTGGCAGGTAACTGCCTCAGAGAAAAGGACTTGGAGTTCTTCTGAGATTAGATCCACCCTATAAAAGGTGTGTTTGTGTGTGTGTTTGTGTGTGTTCCCAGTGAATTTTCTGCTTGAAACTCATGACTGCCAGTGGATTTCCCTCACATCCTCCCTGCCTCATTTCACCTCTTGAAATCTCTTCCTGTACAAGCCACACGGCCTACCTGCTGGTTCTCACCATCATGCTCCCAGGCTTTCTCTTTCAGTGGAGTCCTCTGTCAGGTACTCTGCTTCCCGCTGGACAAAGGCCTGTGGACCCTGAATGCTGGGCGCGAACATCACCTGCCAGTAAGTCTTCATTGCACTCCTGTTTTACTCAGGATTCTCCAAAAAACAACTCCAGTATGATGTTTAGAGACAGAAAGAGAGAGAGAGATTTATTATAAGGAATGGGCTCATGTGATTATGGAGGCTGCAGTGTAGACGGGCTCACTGGAGCCCAGTGGAGCCAACGGTGCAGATGAAGTCTGAAGGCAGTCTGCTGGAGGAATCCCTCTTCTTTGGGGACATTAGTCTTTCTGTTCCTTTCAGGCCTTCGACTGATTTGACGAGGCCTCCCAACATTATGGAGGACAATCTCCTTTACTCCAAGTTCACCGATTTAAATGTTAATCTCATCCAAAACATTCTCCAAGTTGACCAATAAAATTTCCCGTCACACATTCACAGGCTAAATGAGTCATCTCTTCTCCCCTATTCTCGTCCACAGTAAGAATATCACAGTTGGTGAGAGGTATTTGTATATTTGTGTGCCCCACACCTCATGTGGGCGTTGGTAATAGAATGTGTCTCTTTATTACTTTTGTGAACTAGAGCCTAAGACATGCTGCTTCTTGGTCACTCTGGGATGAATTGAATTCCTTGGGGGAACAGGAGCTGAGAGAGGGCTGTCCTCATGCATGGGGGCCCACTTTACAGCAGAACCATCCATGCCCAAACCATTCCTGACTCTATGGCTTTACCCCCACCTCCACTGAGTTCATTGCTGTGAACACTCCGGCCATCCCCACTGGGGAAACACTATGCATCTTTACTTGATCCTTTTGAGGGCAGTGGATATTGTGAGCAGAAATGAAAGGAAGGGTGGAGTCCGGTGGCCCCTGGCTCCTGGGAGGTCTTTGCCTGGTGTGAGGACTAGGGAGAGCCCTGAGTGCCACTCTGCCCCCGTCCCCTGAGCCTTTTCCCCGTTAAATGAGGAAAATACACTAAGGTCTCCTCCTGCACACGTTCTCCACGTGGAAAGGCTGAGCTTCAGGCGGGAAGAAGTCCCCAGTGTCCTGAGGCTGTGGGAAGGTGGAGAAGGACTGTGCGAGGACACAGGGCCCATCTGTACTTGAGGACAGGGATGAGAGATAGCAGCAAGTTCTGTGAACTGACAGATACAAAGGAGATTAGAAGGTTCCTGCCTGATTCCCTCAGGTCTCTATGCAGGAGGGGCCTGTGATAGATGGTGTGGAAGAGACACACACAGGGTGGGCAGGACCCAGGTTTGGGTGGGGCAGAAGTTTGGTGGGTCCAAGTGATCTGTGTGTGGGAAGAGACTCCCATGCATAGGGCTGGGGGACACGAGCCTGGGTTGAATCCCTGGGAGGGGGCAACCAGGAAGGGCCTGGCAGCCCCACCCATGAGGCTCAGGGAAGTGGGCAAGTGACTGGGAGAACAGGAGAAGGCAGAAGACTGGCAGTAGAGACCTGGCAGGCCAGTCAGGTGGGAGGAGAGTGAGCTACTACATACGACACACATATTACGTGCGAGCAATGTGTTTCCCATTGTCCTGATTGGTTTACTCCTCTCAACAAACTTTGGGGTAGGTATACCAGTCCCCTCCTCATTACGGAGGTACTTGAGACTTAGGGAGCTTAAGTAACTTGCCCAGCATCTCACAGCACACAAATGGGAGGCCTGGCCTGATTCAAACCCAGGTTGGCCTGACTTGAAATCTGAGTTTAAACTATAATTCTCCTACCTCTGTTACGACACTCTTATTTTCTCTACCAAGTTTTAACAGAAAGCAATGTTGCTTAAATGCACGCAACTGTGTCCCATCTCAAGCCTGTTTCTGGTGTCACAGGCCTTAAGCATGTGGATATTACTGTCACCAAGTAGATCTGTTGTGTTTAGTTTCCAAGAAAAGATGCCTTTTTTGGTGCACAACGAAGATGCTGACGTGGCTGGTAGGAACACAGAACTTAAGAAGGTGAGGCTCTTGTCAACACTTAAATAAACATAGACCCATTTATTTGTGTAAAATTAGAGAAAAATTATATTTCATGATCTCATACAGGAAGCACCAACTAAAATGTTCAATGCAAATTTCACCTTCAGAAAATAATATATATGTGTTGGGAATGGAGCCTACAGTGTGGAACTGAGAGTTTCAAGGTAGGCTTTCTCAGTTTGCTGCTCAAATATCATTTACCTGCCTCCTGTGGGTGAGGCCTCCCCACAGCTCTCTGTGACATATTGATGAGAAAGAGCCAAGCTCTTGACCTCCAGGAGCTGGCCTGGCCCTCGCAGCTGGGCCCTGATGTGCTTCTGTTGAATATCAACAATTTCACAGAACATCAACACAGACAAAACCATTCTGTGACCAGGATGGATCAAGACAAAAAGAAGACCATCTCATAATCATGTCTGAACGCAGACAAAAATTGAGAACCTTGCTTAGACAAAAATGACTGACACCTCGCTGTCCTGGCTCATGTGTGTGACTGCTGCTTCTGTACCTGTCACAGCTCTAGTCTAGTCTGTTCTTTACCTTCTAGATAAGAATTATGAAGATACCTAACCATGGAATGTTCCCCTCTTCCTGACAGCATCCAATGCAGAGCAAAGCTACCCTTTATGAACCCTCACCAAAACACTGAACACGAGCCCAAATCCACTCATTCCTTCCTCACATCCTCTTACTGATACGCCCCAAGATTCCCCATGGTGTGAGCCCTTCCCCACTGCAATAAGTGACAAGCTACAGGTGAGTTCCTGGGGGTCTTTGGCTAAAGAGTAACGTCATCAGCTACCTGTGTTCCCATTTCCATGTCATTGAGAAGTATCATAAATTTAGTAAACAAGATGAAACATATTTCAGTATAAATCAATTAATCCTTTAAAGATTGAGACTTCTATGTAACTCTAACATAAACCACGTCAAACGGTGTCGTTGAAAAGGCAAGTGCTTTTAACTGTGAACACAAATTTTACTGAAAACTTATTTAAGCAGGGCCTCCTTCCAGCTTCTACATTACTTAACGTCTAACATGAGATGAAGGGCAAGGAGGCTGATGAAGAGCATTCACATCTGCAGGTCGGACCCCAAGGAAGGCCATGCAGAAAGCCTGACCCAACAAACGGAAGGAAGGAAAATGTAGGTTCCCCACTGTTCCAGGCAGGAACACAGCAGTGACCAGATGGACAAGGTTCCTGCTCCCTGGAGGCTTCCATTCTCATGATGAGAGACAGATAACCAAGAAGCTAACACATAAAGAGGATCATTTCAGATACTGAAAGAGGAACGAGATTAGGGATACTGAGAAAGGGGCTCCCTTTCACAAGATGGGCTCATAAAAGGTCAGTTCTAAATAGCTGAAGGGTTATCAAAAGATGATGAGCTGTAACTTTCCCTGTGATGCATAGATCGGCCAGATGCCACCAGACTTCTGGAATTTCAATGAAGAATGGGTAACATTTTTAAGAGCCATAGTTTATCACATGGCTGGTTGGAACTGGCTGCCGACTGGGAGCTCGGCTGGTGCCATCAACCAGGAACCAGGCAGGTTGACCACAGTTTTAAATATATGTGTTGCCCACCCCTCCTCAAAACGAGCATGGGATGATGGCATGCTGAACTTCCACTAAGGTACACAATATTCAACTTCTAGATAATACTTTATTGTAGCTATAGCGTTACTCATCTTGAGGGGAAAATAATACTTAGGCACATATACGACTTGGTCATGATTATCTGGAACTGTGTTTTTCCACAAATTTGCTCAAAATCACTTCCCTTAGTTCAGAATTGCTCAGCATGGAAGGCCAGTGTGACTGGGGAGGCAAAGCCACCCTCCCAAGAACAGTCACTATTTGAGTGTCTTTAAAGTATATGCACTGACAGACAATTCCCTAAAGCTTGGTGTGTCAACTCCAGAAAAGGGGGTTGTTCAGCTTCCAAATAACAAGAGAGGAGAGCATGAGCTGGGCTAGCAGGACTCAGAGCAGGTCACAACTGAGAGGGGCTGATGGGGTGAGAAGAATTCATCACTTACCATCACACAGGGTTGCCCAGCAATGTCCTTGACCCTTATAGCATCTTTCTCTTCATAGTACCTTCCCAGCAGCAGCTACCATGGTAACCTGAAGCAGGGGGAGGGTGCCTGGTTTCACTGACAATTACAAGGTAACTTCATCATTTTCAGTGAGCAGGAGGAGGTGGGCTTTGCAGTCACTGTAACACCAGAGCATTACCCACAGCCGGCACACCGCTCCTTCCAGGCATCTACTGACAAGCCCAGGGCTTCCAGTGACTCTTCAATGGCCATAAAGGAATTCAACAACATTCGTATCTTGGCTCTGAACTTCATTCCAATACAATTTTCTTCCAGGCCACATCAGCCTTCCTCCTCTTATTGAGCCTTGCACTCTCATTCTGTGCCTTGCTTCTTGTTGTCACCCCCTCTGAGGACGTCCTCCCCTCAGGCAGACATGACCAAATCCCACCTGCCATTCTCCAAGCCCTAGTTCTCAGGCTTCCTTCTCCACAAACCTTTCTTGTGGTGTCCCAAATGATGGGTCTCACCTTTTTTGAGCCCACAGCACTGACTCTGGACCTCCATCTTTCACCCATCACGATCTGCCTCAGTTGCATAATTCAGCCCCCCTAAGAGAGCCGTGGTTCTCCAAGTCTAAGGCCTGTATGCTTCATCCAGAGCAACAGTGTGGTTCCCACGCCTGGCAGAGTATTAAATAAATACTTATTGACCGAATGGAAGACTGTGAAGTCGTGGCACAGGATGACACATGAGACTGGAATGTGAATCTGTGTTCCCTCGTCACTACTTCTTTTTCCTTCTTTCTTTGTTTTGCTTGTTTGTGTGTTGTTGCCTGCCTTCTAAACTGACAGCCTCTATTCCCGAAGCTCCACCTTTAAAGTTTACCTGTTTCAAGAAATCTGGTTCCTCTTCTTTCCCCCACTTCTTTAATTCCATGTAAAATAACAGTCTTGGACTGGAACAGACAAAAAAAGTTAAAGAGCCACAATTCAGGAGGAGATATCCTTTTACCAGGGTTATGTCAGGATGCTGTGAACTTTACTCACGGTTTACAGGTGTGTTAAAGACCACAGTAGGACTCATGTCAGCTCTCTTGGGGTCTTTCTGCTGCTCCATATCAGGATCCTTTCTGAGACCGGGAATCACTCCCCTCACTTTTTTCTCTTAGTCAGTTCAGATGTCTGAGACTCCGCCTGCATCCCCTCCTGATAGAGCAGACCCCTCACTCTGCCCCATGGCTGGTCTCTCCCAGTCCCCTAAGTCAATTCTGCCATCACCCTGCTACCTTCTCCTCATCTTGTTTGCTGCCCAGGAAGTAAGTGTATAGAGCCTGTCTTTATCAAATGTTTTCACATGGCAAAACAAGCACTAGCTAAACAGAACATT